GGCCGGCGCGCCTGTCTCCCCGCTCTCACCCCACTAGCATTGGGCATCACCACCAAACTGCATCCCCTTTCCTGGGGCAGGGAGACCCCAAAACCCTCCCGGGGTCGGGGCAGCCAGCCTCTGCGGGGAAATGGCTCTGCAAGGGGTGGGTGCCAGGGCAGGGGGATGGCCCCCAAGATCCTTGTTCTCGGCAGAGGAAAACGCGCCCCAGCATCGCTGAGTTGGGGCTTGGGCGGCCACGGGCGCCCAGCCCGGGAGGAGCCGCTTGGCCGAACCCCGTGTCCCCTTCGGCTTAACCCCCTCGCAGAGTTAATTCAAATGCACTCAGTTAAGGCCATGCCAGCTGCTGGGGGCTCCTCTTGGCCACCCGGAGCCGGTGGCAGGGAGAGGCACCGGAGCATCTTGCTGCAAGCCAGCCCCCCATGCAGAAAAGGGGTTTTCATCCTCTTAATCTGGTCTGAAGCTGGAGGTGGGAAGGGAGGCCAGGAGCACAGGGGGCTGGGGGGTCCCGGGCTCCCTGGGGGGGCACAGGGTGGTCCCAGCAGTGCCCAAAGCAGCCCCCAGCACCAGGTCTGCACCGGCCCTTCCAAGCAGCTGGAAGCCTCTTGGCTGTCGAGGAGCAGCTGTGATCAGAAACGATTTGCCCAAAGCTGGGGCTGAGCCCAGGCTGTCGGGCTCTGAAGCTGGGGAAGGGTTTAGCTGAGCCCGGCTCAGCTCCATGCCCCCAGGCTCTGCCCAGGCTGGTGGCAGCGAGTGTCCACACCCAGCTGAAACCCACACCAGGACGCTTTAAGGCAACTCATTTCTTTCCTCCATCAAATTACTTAATTCTCTCTTTCTTGCAGCGCTTCCAGGTCATCGTTCATCCAGCCAAGCAGCGCCAGGGCCACCCGAAAGAGGGACAGCCCTGGCAAAGGCGGGTGGCACCCCATACCCCAACCCCGGCAACATTCAGGGCTTTGAATTTTTTTTTTTTTCCCCTTAACCATTAACCTTTAACCAAACCCCTTCCGTTGCAGAAGCAGAGGCTGGTGCTCCTCACGCCGAGCAGGCACCTCTTCTGCCCCGTGTTCAGGCTCACCAAGGCTGGTGCGGCCACCAAAGCAGCAGCCGGCCTCAGGGACATCGGGGGACACAGTGGGGGATCCGCGGTGACACTGACCCAGCCCAGCCAGAAGCTGCAGGGGCAGGAGCTGATCAGGGAGACATTAACATAATTAACAAGAAAAATGCCAGGAGGGCTGGAAGTGTCCACAGGGCGCCCTGGCCTGACCTGACCAGCATGGAGCAGAAAGGTGGAGTGGCCTGGGGTGGCCAAGATGCCCAGCACTGGGGCGCACTGCCCATCCAACCACCAAAGTACTGGCCACCACCCTTTCCTGCCCGGTTGCACCTTTAATAGCAGTTTGAGCAGCTGGGATGATCGTGCCAGGAGAAAACATGTGGAACCCACTCAGTGCATCGAGGGCTCCCACCCAAAATCACCTGGACAGGCTGGAGAGTTGGGCAGAGAGGAACCTGATGAAGTTCAACAAGGGCAAGTGTTGGGTGCTGCCCCTGGGGGGAGGTCAAACCCCATGCACCAGTACAGTCTGGGGGATGACCTGCTGGAGAGCAGCTCTGCTGAGAGGGACCTGGGAGTCCTGGTGGATGACAAGCTGACCATGAGCGTGCCCTGGTAGCCAAGAAGGCCAATGGCATCCTGGGGTGCATTGAGGAGTGTGGCCAGCAGTGCAAGAGAGGTTCTCCTCCCCCTCTACTCTGCCCCAGTGAGACCCCACCTGGAGCACTGTGTCCAGTTCTGGGCTCCCAGTTCAAGAAGGATGAGGAACTCCTGGAGAGAGTCCAGAGGGCAAAAAGGATGATAAAGGGACTGGAGCATCTCCCCTATGAGGAAAGGCTGAGGGAGCTGGGCTTGTTCAGCCTGGAGAAGAGAAGGCTGAGAGGGGATCTCATCAACATGTACAAATAACTTAAGGGTGGATGTCACAAGGATGGAGCCAGACTCTTTGCAGTGGTGCCCAGAGCCAGGACAAGGGGCAATGGGCACAAACTGAAGCACAAGAGGTTCCAGGTGAACGTGAGGAAGAACTTCTTGACTTGGAGGGTGACTGAGCCCTGGCACAGGCTGCCCAGGGGGCTGTGGAGTCTCCTTCTCTGGAGATATTCAACCCCCACCTGAACGCTGTCCTGTGCCCCCTGCTCTGGGTGAGCCTGCTTGAGCAGGGGGCTGGGACTGGGTGATCTCTGGAGGGCCCTTCCAGTCCCTGCCATGCTGGGATTCTGTGATCACATCCTTAAAAAAAAAAACCAAAACAAAAAACACAAACCAAAACCAAGCAATAATTAAGAGCTCATTTCCTCTGTCTCCACCTCAGTATCTTCTGAGCAAAGCATTCCAATTAAAAGTAGTTTTATTTGATGAACCAAGCATCCAATACTGTTATTTCAGGAAAAAAAAACCCAAAACAGTCCAGGGCTACATCGAGATGGGATGCAGCAGCTCCAAGTCATCTCACACAACCACACCTTTTTTTTTCCACAAATCATTGGTTTATTAGAAAGGTTCCCCCCCCTCATTTTACAGCATATATATATATTTATATATATATCTTATGTGACAAAGTTAAATACAGTCTGTTTATGCCTGTTAAGTAAGGATAGGTTAATTATTTTTAGCACTATTCTGGAAGTCAAAAAAAAAGAAACCCCCAAACCAAACCCCTGACCGTGGCGTGAAGGGTGCCAGGACACACGCGTAGTGAATCTAGAAGCTAATGAAGCTCAGTGCTGAGACATTAACACTGTGTTCTCTTAATTATTTACAGAGAAATTGAGTCCCTTTTTTTTTTGACCCTTGTGTTTCAGTCCCACCTGTTCAAATGCAAAGTTTCTCATTTAAAGAGTGAGGAAGCTCAAGTTTTCGATCCTTTGAATCTTTGCCCCCCAGGGTCTTGGTGCTGCGCTTTGGGAGGGGAAGGGGACGCCAGGCAGCCGCATGCACTCCGCATCCCCTCACTGCCTGCTCCGAAACCGGGCCCTGCACAGCACCACAAGGTGCCCCCAAACCGCTCAAACGCAAGGAACCTGAAATACCCAGGTCAGCAGCAACTTGTCCTGGCGCCGTGGGAAGAGCTTGTGGATGGAGACGCCTCCCCATGGTTAGTGTTATCCGCAGCCAGGGGACAATGGCGGAAAGAATGGAGAAATCCTGTTGGGAACGCCACGGGTAGGCATGGCCTCACCGGATTAGACCTAAACCACCTCTCCCTGCGTGTAAGATGGCAAGCGGTTCCGGTGAAAAGGCTCTTCCTTCACCGAAAGGAACTGTGTATGGAACAGCACAGCCAGGCTGGCACCTGCAAAGCACCAGCTCAAGCCCGGGGCGGGGG